GAATTGAGATGGATCTCCGATCATATGCCTTGAGCATCCACTATCAAGGTACCATCTCTTGCTCCTAGCTTGCGATGGTATAGGTTTCTACAAGAAATGATGATTTTTAGGAACCCATTTGCTTTTGGGTGCCTCAAAAATAGATCTTCATTGTTTATCATGTTGCATAGAATTTATTATGGTTCCTTTAGGAACCCAAATCAATTTGTTTGGACTAATTTTCTTGAATGGACAATAATACGTTTTGTGTCAAAATTTGTAACAAAAGTTGCATTTGCTTTGGTGTCGAACATGTAAGATGGGGCCTTTTATGAAGGTGGTTGGATTTTGGTGAGGACTTCTCACAAATCCAATTCCACTTCTTTTAGGAACGTGACCCTTGTTTGCAAAGATCATGTACAATGACTTGCTACCAACCTCGAATTTCTTCAAGGTATCCTTAAGTAGCAAGTTTTCCTTTTGGAGAGTTTCTAGATCATGGCATTTTATGCATGAACTTAAACTATCATGATATTCAGATTTTAACTTATCAAAATTATAAGTAAGACTATCATGCTCCTTTTTTAGCAATTTGTATTTTCTACTAATAATCTTGCATTCATCAAATAAGTCATGGAAGGCATTTAATAATTCATCAAATGATAAATCTGCATCTATTAAATTTGTTACCTCCTCTCCGATGGCCATTAAGGCGTAGTGAGCAACTTGCTCGGTGTTGGACTCCTCTTCTTCGGACGCGCTCGAGTCATCCCACGTTGCTTTGAGCGCCTTCTTCTTTGATGTTCTCTTTTTAACTTGGGAACAATCACTCTTGTAGTGTCCCGGCTTTTTGCATTCATAGCAAATAACTTGGTCATTCTTGGGTTCAAGTTTATTTTTTTCATCATTCTTAAACTTGTTTCTTTTAATGAATTTTTTAAATTTTCTTGTTAGAAGTGCCAAGTCATCATCACAGTCCTCATCACTTGAGTTTTCTCTCAAGTGGCCTTCTGAAGTTTTAAGTGCCACATCCTTCCTGTTCTTTGGAAGGATGTCTTCTTGCTCTTCATGAGCTTTGCAAGTCATCTTGTAGGTCATTAATGACCCGATTAGTTCTTCAAGAGGGAAGTTGTTTAGATCTTTCGCCTCTTGAATAGCAGTGACTTTAGGATCCCAACTCTTAGGAAGGGATCTTAGGATCTTATTTACGAGCTCAAAATCCGAAAAACTTTTTCCAAGTCCTTTTAGACCGTTGACGACATCCGTAAAACGGGTAAACATGTCGCCAACGGTTTCACTCGATTTCATCCGGAAAAGTTCGAAAGAATGTAACAGAAGATTGATTTTTGACTCTTTCACTCTACTTGTGCATTCGTGAGTCACTTCGAGTGTGTGCCAAATATCAAATGCGGTTTCACAAGTCGAAACACGGTTAAACTCGTTTTTATCAAGTGCACAAAATAGGGCATTCATAGCCTTTGCATTAAGAGCGAAAGCCTTCTTCTCCAATTCATTCCAATCGATCATTGGAAGAGAAGACTTCGAAAATCCATTTTCGACAAGATTCCAAAGTTCAAAATCCATAGAAATAAGAAAGATCCTCATTCGGGTCTTCCAATAGGTGTAGTCCGTCCCACTGAACATGGGTGGACGTGTAATAGAATGGCCCTCTTGGTTTCCGGCATATGTTATCTCTCTTGGATTTTAATCCGTTAGAGAGTTAACCCCGCTCTGATACCAATTGTTAGGATCAAGAGCACTAAGAGGGGGGGGGTGAATTAGTGTAGCGAAAATCTTTCTGCGATTAAATCGAAACTGCGTTCGAACGATAAAAACGATTTCGGTGTGAAAGCTGATTCTAAGATTACTTTAACTTAAGATCAAGCAAGATGATGTTAAAGTCAATCTATGAAGGCAGTTTGCAGTTATGATGAAAACCAGAATATAAGCGCAAACTGAAATACGACGTTCGTACGAAGAAACTGATTTACGTCTAAATGCTGATTCGTAAATCACTTGATTGGGTGAGATGCAGTTTAAGCAAGGATATAAAGGTAGTTTGCAGTTATGATAGAAATCAAAACGTAAACGCAAACTGAAATATGATGATCGTACGAAAAAACAGATTTACGTCTAAACGCTGATTCGGAAAGTGCAAAGCTTGAAACCCGATCGTATACGCGCAGAAAGCAGTAAGCTTTAGAGGAGGTTTGCAGTAAAGATAATATGCTCAAAGTAAATGCAAACCGAGATTTAGAGTGGTTCGGTCAATCTTGACCTACTCCACTTTTGGCTTCCTCCACCGACGAGGTCACCGACGTCAACTAGAGGCCTTCCTTCAATAGGCGAAGGCCAACCACCCTTTTACAATTTCACTCCTTTTGACGGGCTCAGGAGACAACCCTTACAGAATTTTCTCTCCTCTCTTTACAACTCAGAACTTGGAAGAACAGAGGGAGAAGAACTTTTGGCCTTTACAACAATTTTGAGCTCTAAGAATCACAGAAAAGGATCAAGATTTCGGTGTAAGTTCATACCCTTTCAGTGCTGAATAGGTGGGGTATTTATAGGCCCCAACCCAGTTCAAATTTGGAGCTCAAAACTATCAATTCCCGGAATTCCGGGATCAGGCGGTTGCACCTCCTGACTGGAGCGGTTGCACCGCTTGGCAGAGCTCGAAGACTGAGCCTCTGGGCGGTGCTACCTCCTGTTAGGGGCGGTTGCACCTCCTGACAGAGCTCGAAGACCGAGCTCAGGCGGTTGCACCTCCTGACTAAGGCGGTTGCACCTCCTGACTAAGGCGGTTGCACCGCCTGGCAGAGCTCGAAGACTGAGCTCAGGCGGTGCCACCTCCTGTCAAGGGAGGTTGCATCGCCCAGTCTCGCTCGGAGACTGAGCCCCAAGCGGTGCCACCGCCTGGCTGGAGCGGTTGCACCTTCCAGTCTCGCTCGGAGACTAAGCCCAAGTGGTGCAACCTCTTGCCTTGGGCGGTTCAACCGCTTGGCAGAAATCAGGGTTCGAATGGGTTGATCCATTCGGCCCAATTTGGGTTTTTCAGGGGCCCAATTGCCCCAATATTAAGTTAATGGGATCATCTCCCATTTCCAACTTAATCAATGTGCTAACTACGAGTTTTCCTAAGACATTTACTGCAACTTGCTCCGGTGCGTCAATCGCTTCTTCCGGCGAGCTTCCGACGAACTTCCGTCGAACTTCCGTCGATCATCCGATGAACCCTCAGTGATGCTCCTGCGGACTTCCGGCAAACTCCTGGACTTGCGATGATTCACTTGGCGAGTTCCGACGAGCTCCTTTGGCAAGCTTATGGACTTCTCGGATTTGTTCCCGCAGAACTTCCGACGACTGTCCGAACTTCCGTCGAACTCTCGAACTCCCAACGTGATCATTGTCTTGACTCCAGCGCAACTCCTACTGCATGTCTCACTTTCATCGTAGTTAATCCTGCACACTTATCTCAACATATAGATTAGATAACAAATGACAATTGACTTCATCATCAAAATCTGAGATTCAACACATCCATCTTCTAATATAGGCAATAGCTTTTCTATGTTGAACTTCCCATTCTTCATCATCCATAGTATAAGGTTTATCTTTAACCTTGATAGGCTTATACAAATCTTTGCAATATAACAAATCTTCCATCAGACGCCTCTAAGTGGAATAATTTGATGAGTTCAATTTAATCATACCATCTGACTGCTCCATTTCGATCACACAAGAAAAACTAGCACCAAATAACCTGGCCCTGATACCACTTGGGAAAAACCTATTAAAGCGGAATAATTCTTTCCCTTTTTGTGTATCAAAATAGGTTTCTCATCAAAATACCAACTTGATATCCAAATGCAACTATCAAACAACACAGCATAAACAATAGAGCAAAAAATCAATCACACAGTAAGACCAAATCTTTTAACGTGGAAAACCCAATGTGGAAAAAACCACGGGACCGTAGTCCACCTCAAACTTCCACTATCAATAATAATAATAACGGGTTTATAGTAGGTCTTCTCTAGAATAACTAGAGGATCAGAATAACATCAAGATCATAGATCTTAGCTCAAGAAAAGCATATCTTCATACATGAATCTCCTCAAAAGAGAATTCTAGGTTTCACATAGTAGATATCGCAGGAAAGTACCTTAGAAAGGGTAAATTGTAGATCAACACCGTTAGGATTATAGAGTTTGCTGCAAGGATTCTCCACATAAAATTTGGATCGAAACTGACAACGTTTGGCCACCGATCGTAAGTAGAAAACTCAGAAATCTAATCTTTCTCTCTCCTCTTTCCTATGCACGTCGTACGCTTAATTTGATCTATTTTCCTCACCTTCTCTCTCCTCTTTTTAATTTCTTTCATTTGCTGATTTGGGCTCAATAGGCCCAATTGTCCAAGCCCACATATGGGCTGGACCCAACAAATTCTCCTACAACTTGCAGTGGAGCTCTGTGTCCAACAAGAGCCCCTTCGAAATTATTATAGGACAACAATCGTCGACTCCTCATACCTTGACTATCGGGTATACTGGGAGTAGCCCATCAGCATATCACTTTACAAAAGAATGACACCGAAATACAGATATTACACGGACTTACTTAGAGAAGGCGACCAAAAAGATGAAGTGGGCAAACTTGGGAAGGCGACCATAGGAGTTCAAATTCAATGATTCGATGTTGGTAAAGCTCCAACCAGCATCACTCCAATTCTTTAAAAAACAAAGTACACAAAGGATTTGTGCAAAAGTATTAAAGGCCCTTCTCAATTATCAATAAGGTGGGCAACGTCTCCTACAAGTTATAACTACCGACGTTGCTCAAAATTCATAATGTTTTTCATGCCAGCAACTTGAAAGCCTATCATTCAAATCTGCAAGATGCTTCCCGAAGTATTCCAACTCGGCTACCCCCACCAAAGCCTCATACAAGAAGTGAGTTGAAACCATTTTAGTGGATCATAAGATAAAGCTACCCAATGGAGCTAAGCAAACTGAGTACTTAGTGAAGTGGCGAAAGCTTCCCTAAACCGAAGCTAGTTGGGAGCCCGAAGACACCCTACGACATGAAAAAGCAATCATAAAAAACTACTAACAAGTGTCGACAGTTTAAGCGAGAGAGAATGTCACGAACGGTCGTTACGCACCAATAACGACTTCATTCAACGAACCGTTCGTCGCTTTTACAAATATATATAGATGCTTAGCAGCATGTTTTGCTTTGATTTTGTGTGCTTTTGCTTGTAAAAATATAAGTTCGAATATATTACAACGCTACAATATGACCGCTCGCTACGCCGAGCAAAACAGCCCCAAAATGGCTCCGTTTTTGTGTGCCACAGCTTGTTTTCTATAGACCATTGCTACATGTGAAACGTCAGCCATCTCACCACCCTGGAACCACCCGGGTGGCACCATGGGGGATGGGGCTTCGGTATAGTATCGAGCGTTAAACAATCTTCACAAGTTCGCACGTTAACTTGACGGGAACTTGCCTTCGCGCCTGGCACCCAATGAGTAGTTATTTATGGACTTACAACTATTCGCTCAACCTTCTAAAGTCCTTGTTTTTCTCCTTCCTCTCTTTTCTCTCATGCACTCAAGGTGCTCGCTGAATTGCTTGTAAAGCTTCCCTTTTAGCGAGACGTCGGGACTTGTTCGCCGCTCATTTTCAATCTAATCAATTTTCTCTTTTACAGATCCTTTGGAACCTGAGTGAGGTTATAAATTAGTTGACCCTTTGCGAACGCATATCGCAAGGGCGCATCACGACTTAGGCAATCTCAGCTAAGTTCGAGAAGTTAGCGTAAGGGTGCTTCATAACTTATGTAACTCAAGCTAAGTCTGTGACTTTGTCGTAAGATTGCCTCATGGCTTAGGCAATTTTAGCTAAGTCCATGATAGCATGGGAGTCCATTCTCTCTCTAATTTCTGACCTACCCCCTCTACTTCGAGAGGTTTTCTTTGTTTTTACCTCCCCCTCTGCATGAGAGGTTGGGTCTTCATTTGGAGCTGCCCCCTTTCTTACACTTTGGGGGGTGGGGCAAGTGCTCGATTGCTTGGGCGGGAGTATAGATCCACCATGAAGGCTTCTGTTGGGAAATATGGGATAGTATCACATGTATAACGAAAGAATAGAAAATAAAATCCTTGAATCTTTTCGTAGAAAAAGAAAGTTTTATCGTTGTGTGAAGATTGATATGTAAAAATTTATAAAATTGAAAACTATATGTATAAGAAAAATGTATTACGTTAGATCGAATGTCCTGATAAACTTGTAGATTTTTGAAATAGCATAGGGAAGTCTAACCGTTGTGCCCATATCTCTGATCGACATGCACGTAACAGTTGGTGCAGGCATCACAAATGATGTAGCACTCTGAAGAGATGTTGATGAATCATGCCAACTAAGATTGACTGCAGAAAGTTCAAAATAAAATGAATATTGTTATATGTAGAATGGATCAATGAATACAATGAACAAGTACTGAGATAAAAATTCCAAACATACGCTAGCAATCACCTGAATCATACAAGAATATTTACGTACTACTATCAACATAAAGATCTCTCGAGTTTAAAAGTGAAAGCAACTTCATTTCTAAAAATTCACAACTTCAAACTAATCTACTATCAAGAATATATGTCACTGAGTTTGGATGACATTTATCACTTTACTGGACTCATTTTTGCCATGTCATTATGGAGATAAAAAATGAAGTAATTTGGATCACAAAACAAACAAGCTACATATGGTCTTGAGCATACCAAGCATAACATGAAGATAAGTATGAGGTATTAAATCCTGCAAATAATTTATGTTATCTAGTCAACCAATGTTAGTGTTTTCTATATTTTGCACTACACAAATGATCCTTGAGTTTTTGGTGCACTATGTGTCAATCATATAATCTGCTGTTAGAGATGCCTGATATAGAATAACCTGATCAGCCAACAAGGATTATGGCTACTAGAGTTGTATAAAAGGTTTTAGGCCAGGGCACATGTTATAAAATGGATTGCGTGAGACCTCATTAATTATATGACTACAAATGCATAATTTTAATTAAAGCAAGAGTTTAATGTTATAAGAAGACATGGAAATTTGGTAGAAGACCGGGTCAAAAAAACAAAACATGTTTCATAATGTGACAAGGTATAAATCTAGGCTGGAAAACCATAGTTGTGATTTCCATGGCACTGCCAGAGACTAAATCTTGAAAACTACTCATAAAACTGCTCCTGGTCCCACCAATGCAGGGCTTAGGGACAGTCAATTAATCAGCCTTACCCTAGCAAGCAGGGAGACTATTGCCACGGCTCGAACCATCGTCACCTAGATCATAAGAGAACAACATACCATGACAAGAAGGTTCACCCTATACCAACAATCAACAATCAAAATTAGAATAAGGAGTAAGAAAACATGAATACAAAAACAGCTTAATTTCTTTTGGATGTTAAAGTTCATAAAAAAAAAAAGTTTAGAAGGATGATGGAGTTGTAAGTTGGGGTCATTTGTAAAATGCTGAGATGGTTAAGTAGCATTTGGAGAAAAACTAAACGACATAGCACATTACCTTGTAAAATGCAGTAGCATTAAGTTGCTTACGAAGGTGATTAAAATGTTTGGATGAGTGCTCATATAAGTTTGGATGTGTTTGATGAAAAAAACATAGGACACTACCTTGGAAGAGATTTTAGTTAATGTTGGAGGTTCCATAAGGGGAAGACCATAGCCAAATGCAGACGTTCTTTGTCTAATTTTGTAACAAATCCTTTTTTTATAACCTTGTTTCGTTCGTTCCCTAGGCAGAGAATTTCTGAGTTGCTTATTGATTTGCAATCAAAATGACAATGCCTGCAAACCATTATGCGGATGAATTGGCAACTACTTCATGTTGTAAATGTTCCCAATTATGATACAATGTAACAAGAAAATGAGGAGGAAAAGATCATAAAAGACAGTATAAACCTAATAAAGAACCTGTCAATTGCTTTGAAGCATAAGGTGCAGAGTCGAGAAGATCAACTAGAAGGCAACAAAAGATCGAACAGATCAAGATTACCGGCAGAATCAACCACTGAATTCTCCACAGCAACTCCAAGCTTCATCCCTGAATCCGGAACAGGACAAGGCTCGGCCAGCCAATTCACACTCTTAATCTCACCGACTTGCTTGCTTGCTTGGCACCCGTCCACCCTCTTGGTGTCTACTTCCTCCACATCCAAGACAACCTTCGCAGCTGCATGTCGGTTCATGTGTCCCGCCAGACTACCCTTCTTCGGCTGCCCTCCGCCGGCCTTACTTCCCCCTCGGTTAGTTGTCGGGCTGGCAATCCACTTCTGTGCATCGTCCCATTTCGATGGCGCCGGCTTCGAGAACGGTGGCACGAACGCTGCTGCGGCCA